GCCACCCTATATCTTTTGTGACGACACAACAACCTTGTGGCATATGCTTATTGTGATATCATCTACCAATCCAGCAGCCACCTTATATCTTTTGTGACGACACAACAACCTTGTGGCATATGCTTATTGTGATATCATCTACCAATCATTTTGTGGCCCTATTTGTTAAACCATAACCGACCAATCATTTAGAAGCCCTGTGTTTTTGGCAACATCACCTGCAAATAATAGCTATATTGCAATATACAAACGGAGATTACACAATAGGACTCTGTGATGGGTAGAGAGCATGGCTCTGCCAGTGAAGACAGGCGACATGTAGACTAAATCCTTCTCGAGCCATTCCAGGTCATTTATGCTCCTGGTGGTGGGCAATTGTGAGGGCTTAACTGTCGATGATAATAGCGATATGTGCCTTTGACAAACGCTACACATCAGGCGATAATCGCCGACACGCTGACCACTGCTGCACAACTGTTGAAATATACAGCCGTCTGCTTAATCGATACGACTTAGCCAATATGCTAATACAAGAAACACAACCTCCCTGACTGTTGGATTTATTTCCCTCCTGCCACACATTTCAGTGAACCAGCCACATGGAAGACAAACGTGGGTTGAGAATGCTGTGATGCAGGACATATTGTTGTTGCTTCAGGATAGCGGGGGTGCATGGGATTGGAGTCGGGGGTAGGGGAGGAGCGATGCAGGAAGTGTGAGCTCTGTAGAACTGAAGATAGTGGGGTGGCTGGAGTTGAAGCTTTGGAGGAACTGCTTGGAGATGAAGATAGTGGGGCTGCTTGCAGATAAAGGGGTTGAATGCAGATGAGGGTAGTGGGGTTGATTGGAGATAAGGGTAGTGTGGTTGGTTGGAGATAAAAGTAGTGGGTTGATTGGAGATGATGGTAGTGGGGTTGATTGGCGATAAAAGTAGTGTGGTTGGTTGGAGATAAAAGTAGTGTGGTTGGTTGGAGAAATAGGTAGAGTTTTGATTGGAGATACAAGTGTGGGGTTGATTGGAAATAAGGTTGTGGGGTTGATTGGAGGAAAAGGTAGTGGAGTTGCTTGGAGACGAAGACAGTGGGGTTGTTTAGGGTTAAAGTAGTGGGATTGCCTGGAGATGAAAGTAGTGGGGCTGCTAAGCGTAGAAGCTCAGAGGAGTTGCTTGGGGTGAGGGTAGTGGGGCTATTTGGGTCTTGAAGGTAGTGGGGCCTACTTTGGGTAGCGTTTATGGCCTTCCCGTGGGCTTTAGTGATAGTGTCTTAGAAACAGGCGTTCTTGTTGCTCCATTGACGTGATTCCCAAATCAACCTGACTCCACCGACTTATTCCTAAAGACGTAAGTAGGGACGTTTCACCGTCCACATATGCATATCATGACTTGTTGCAGGTATACATATACTGGTCATATATGCATAATATGTACACATAATAAATCCATACACATTCAAAACACTACTATCTGTAAACATCATAAACTCCGTCCAGTTGAAATATGTCACGTTCAAAATATTCTTGTAGATAACAGATATATTCCCACTACACCAACATCCCCCACCGGTGACGGTCCGACTGTGTGCTTTGTTTATGAGACGCCAGGTGGCAATAGTGGCATGTTGTAATTAGTAAATTGTGGACAGGTATCTGATAAGTGAACAACGCCCATCGCCCACGTCCATGCGTCGTGTAAATCTGCAGTGATGTTGGGAGAGACCTGTGATAAAATTACATTGTAGATTGAAATTAACACCTGCGTGTATTCAAAAGTCGATAATACCACGCGGTATAGGAAACAATGCAGCGTCAGAAGTGCTTGGTGCCACGTGGACATTCTTATAGTGTCGTGGGGAAAGGTACCTTCCAAATTCATCGTTTAATAAGAGACTGTTTGGACTATATATTCACTGCAATTACATCAATCTTTTCTTGCAGTCCATATCTATATTCTTTACTGGTGACAGCTGGCAATGTGGGTGTAACGATTTCAAATAAGTGTACAGCTGCTGGGCTATAACGTTGTAGAGACTGGTGTAAAATCTGACCTCCCACGACATTGACTAATAGATATAAAGAGAAAAAGGTAATAAAATAAACAGCTGTATTTTATGAAATATGAAGGTTATTTGTCATAACACAAAGATATACTCAAATGTACTCACACCTAAGTGGAGATAGAGAGATAAAACAGTGTACACAGTAAACCGGGTGTCTCAACCGTGTCCACACAGAGGACCATGTGTGAAGTGTGTTAATGCGTTTGGTTTGGTTGTTGTTTAACATCGCACTCAGCAATAGTCCAATATAACAATCGAGTCTGGACCAGACAATCCAGTGATCAACATCATGAGCATCGACCTAAGCAACTGGGACACGATGACATGTGTCAACTAAGTCAGCGAGCCTGATCCCGTTAGTCGCCTCTTACGACAAGCATCGGTTGCTGAAGACCAATTCTAACCCGGATCTTCACGGGTAGTTAATGTGTTAATGGGGGTGGGGGTAGGGTAGTGGGTGTCATCAACACTGTGGACTTGGTGTCCTAGTCTTTGATAATACATTGCCCGTTGATAACGTGAAGAAGGTGGGCCGTATTCTGAACGTTGAGGATACCTTGCCTGTAGATAACGTGAACAAGGTGGGCCAGGTGTCTTACCGTTTATGAAACTTGCCCCCTAGATAACGGGAACAAGATGGGCCGGGTGTCTTAACGGGGAGGATATTGTCTAGATAACGGGAACAAGGTGGGCCGGGTGTCTTAGCGTTGTTGAAAATTGACCCCCTGATAACGGGAACAAGGTGGGCCCGGTGTCTTAGCGTTTATGAAACTTGCCCTCTAGATAACGGGAACAGGATGGGCCGTTTGTCTTAGCATTGATGAAACATGCCCCCTAGATAACCTGAACAAGGTGGGCCGTGTGTCTTAGCATTGATGAAACTTGCCCACTAGATAGCAGGAACAGGATGGGCCGTGTGACTTAACAGGGGAGGATACTTGACCCCTAGATAACGGGAACAAGGTGGGCCCGGTGTCTTAGTGGGCCGGTGGAGGATATTTGTCTAGATAACGGGAACAAGGTGGGCCCGGTGTCTTAACGGGGAGGGGATGATTGTCTCTTGATAACTTGGGAACAAGGTGGGCCCAGTGTCTTAACATTGGGGAGGATATTGTCTAGATAACGGGAACAAGGTGGGCCGTGTGTCTTAGCATTGATGAAACATGACCCCTAGATAACGGGAACAAGGTGGGCCCGGTGTCTTAACGGGGAGGATATTGTCTAGATAACGGGAACAAGGTGGGCCGTGTGTCTTAGCATTGATGAAACATGACCCCTAGATAACGGGAACAAGGTGGGCCCGGTGTCTTAACAGGGGAGGATATTGTCTTGATAACAGGAACAAGGTGGGCCGTTCGTCTTAGCATTGATGAAACTTGACCCCTAGATAGCGGGAACAAGGTGGGCCCGGTGTCTTAACGGGGAGGATATTGTCTAGATAACGGGAACAAGGTGGGCCGTGTGTCTTAGCATTGATGAAACATGACCCCTAGATAACGGGAACAAGGTGGGCCCGGTGTCTTAACGGGGAGGATATTGTCTAGATAACGGGAACAAGATGGGCCGTGTGTCTTAGCATTGTTGAAACTTGACCCCCTGATAACGGGAACAAGGTGGGCCGGGTATCTCAGCGTGGTGGGTGATAAAAAAATGCAGGGGCGATGTAGGAGCTCGATCAGTTGTTACAGAGCAGCCTGGTTAAGTAGAAACTGCGAAGTGTTATTTCCTAAGTTGATTCAATGTTTGAAGCCCATTCCTGATGTCCCCTGTCTTCGTATAGCTAGTGTATTTCTTACTGGGGCGTATAAATGTCTCCAATTAAGCTGGTTCACAAAGCTATGTGTTCGTCCAAATACCACATGGGTACATGGACCCTTTTTCTGTCAACCACGACAATACACAAATTAAAAACCAGTTAACCAAAATCAGAACATCGATACACAGAAACACGTTTTAACCTTTTCGATCCTTTGAAACGGCACGGCTAAATATGTCGCTTCATGCTTTATGTAAAATACCTTTTTCTTGAACAAAGCCAGTTATGTGTGTACAGAACAACTCTTATTCAGTCAGATGGACATTATATTGATTAATTTAAATCTGTATAGTTTGTGAAGCCGCAATCGGTGTTTTATGCAAACGAAAATAAAAACGAATTCAATAACTGCACTGACTTTCTTAGATCCCATCAGTTGTGTCCCAAGAAAACCCCACATTGCGCCACTGTTCAAAAATATTGAAGTGAAACCTGTATGAAAACGTTCGGTATTATTATTTCCCCAGCTGAGTCTGTGCCAACTATGACTATGGTAAAAGGGAGCAGACTTTGGCCAAAAATCCAATAAGATCCCGCGACAATACAAAGCTTCGCTTCATCGCACCTGTGACATAAGCTCCGCCGTCCAACAAATTTAACGTATTTCTCTCACGTCATTGTGAAACATGGTGTTTTGAATCGAAGGTCGGGAAAGGTTGGATGTTAGCGTGTCGACCTAGCGTAAGATAGATAGTGAATGAAATCCTAGTAATGAATATTAATGCGGTTCTATGATTAGGTGGACGTCACAACATGGCGGCCTCGGAGCTGTCTGACAGTGAGACGAGCCTTTAGATGCGGGTGTATATTTTAAGGATACCGAACATCTCGCGTTCCGTTGACATGGTTAGACGCAAGTCAGGGACCGTCTCTAGGATACTGTGATTACCATGTCGCTGCTGTGTGTGTGGTAAGTATTTTCCACATTTTGGGGAATGAAATGGTCAAATTTCGCGCACTTGTGATGCCACCTCTACTCGCGTAGTGGCTGCCGGTGTCATTGTGGTTACAACCGCTGCGTGTTTACAATGCGCGTGTACTGTTACTCGTGCGTATTCTAGGTTCTGCGCTACATAAAAAAAAACTTATATATTCCTTTTGAAATTGTATTCATTTTCTCTCTGTTTCAGTGAAACGTGCCCGGCTTATTGGTAACGCTGGTGAGTGACAGTTTATAGATTTTTGACATCTCCATCTATTCTGAGCGAAACCCGGGCCTTGTCTCAGAGCTGTCAAGCTAGCGATAGCTTGCTGTTCGAGGGGGAACATACTCACTCACACGGAACCCGTCTCTTACTGTTTTTCTTCTATGTCACATATATTCCACACTAACCACTACACGAGATAATGTGTGTTTGAGGTATCGTAAATAAATTTGCATAATATGTCACCCATATTATTAGCCAATATGATTTGATATTGCGATAGCGGGAGACACCTGACAGTGTGTATGTATGTGGAGGTATTCTACAAAGTACAACTATCTGTGGGAAACAGCCGTTACGCGTGGTTAATCCTGTCAGTCGGTGTTTACATCTGACTAGTCAACTGTGATTCACGCGGAGGTCAGTGCTGTGTAGTCACCGGGATTGCCTGGGCATTGTGGGGGCATATGTATGTAACTATACCGACTTCACATACCAGCAGTGTATATATATATGGTTGTTGTTGACAGGGTGAAATTTCCCACATTTGTACTGCACGATTGTATGATCTTGTTGGGTATCCTTCACATACCAAATATTCTCATACACTACTTGACAGTATGTTCATACAGTAGAGTATATACATATATTTACTCTGCTGGTGTTCACAGACACTGTGAATGTATATACACATGAAAGTGCCCAGAAATTCATACACTGTATATATGCTCACAAATACACACAGCAAAGTCAATATGTTCACGATCAGTATAAACACAACCGTATATAAACACGGCACAGTCAATATGTTCACGTTCAGTATAAACACAAAGGTATATACACAAAACAGTCAATATGTTCACAGTCAGGATAAACACAACCGTATATACACAAAAGGTCAATATGTTCACATTTAGTATAAACACAACCATATATACACAGGACAGTCAATATGTTCACATTCAGTATACATACAACCATATATATACACGCGACAAAGTCAATATGTTCACATTCAGTATAAACACAACCGCTATAGACACAACATAGGATGTTCACGTTCAGTATAAACACAACCATATAGACACAACATAGGATGTTCACGTTCAGTATAAACACAACCGTATAGACACAACATAGGATGTTCACGTTCAGTATAAACACAACCGTATAGACACACAACATAGGATGTTCACATTCAGTATAAACACAACCGTATAGACACAACATAGGATGTTCACGTTCAGTATAAACACAACCGTATAGACACAACATAGGATGTTCACGTTCAGTATAAACACAACCGTATAGACACACAACATAGGATGTTCACGTTCAGTATAAACACAACCGTATAGACACAACATAGGATGTTCACGTTCAGTATAAACACAACCATATAGACACAACATAGGATGTTCACGTTCAGTATAAACACAACTGTATAGACACAACATAGGATGTTCACTTTCAGTATACACACAACCGTATAGACACACAACATAGGATGTTCACGTTCAGTATAAACACAACCGTATAGACACAACATAGGATGTTCACATTCAGTATAAACACAACCATATAGACACAACATAGGATGTTCACGTTCAGTATAAACACAACCGTATAGACACAACATAGGATGTTCACATTCAGTATAAACACAACCGTATAGACACAACATAGGATGTTCACGTTCAGTATAAACACAACCGTATAGACACAACATAGGATGTTCACGTTCAGTATAAACACAACCGTATAGACACAACATAGGATGTTCACGTTCAGTATAAACACAACCGTATAGACACACAACATAGGATGTTCACGTTCAGTATAAACACAACCGTATAGACACAACATAGGATGTTCACGTTCAGTATAAACACAACCGTATAGACACAACATAGGATGTTCACATTCAGTATAAACACAACCGTATAGACACAACATAGGATGTTCACGTTCAGTATAAACACAACTGTATAGACACAACATAGGATGTTCACGTTCAGTATAAACACAACCGTATAGACACACAACATAGGATGTTCACGTTCAGTATAAACACAACCGTATATAGACACAACATAGGATGTTCACGTTCAGTATAAACACAACCATATAGACACAACATAGGATGTTCACGTTCAGTATAAACACAACCGTATAGACACAACATAGGATGTTCATGTTCAGTATAAACACAACCGTATAGACACAACATAGGATGTTCACGTTCAGTATAAACACAACTGTATAGACACAACATAAGATGTTCACGTTCAGTATAAACACAACCGTATAGACACACAACATAGGATGTTCACGTTCAGTATAAACACAACTGTATAGGCAAAACATAGGATGTTCACGTTCAGTATAAACACAACCGTATAGACACAAAATAGGATGTTCACGTTCAGTATAAACACAACTGTATAGACACAACATAGGATGTTCACGTTCAGTATAAACACAACCTGTATAGACACAACATAGGATGTTCACGTTCAGTATAAACACAACCGTATAGACACAACATAGGATGTTCACGTTCAGTATAAACACAACCGTATAGACACAACATAGGATGTTCACGTTCAGTATAAACACAACCATTATAGACACACAACATAGGATGTTCACGTTCAGTATAAACACAACCGTATAGACACAACATAGGATGTTCACGTTCAGTATAAACACAACCGTATAGACACACAACATAGGATGTTCACGTTCAGTATAAACACAACCGTATAGACACAACATAGGATGTTCACGTTCAGTATAAATACAACCGTATAGACACAACATAGGATGTTCACATTCAGTATAAACACAACCGTATAGACACAACATAGGATGTTCACGTTCAGTATAAACACAACCGTATAGACACAACATAGGATGTTCACGTTCAGTATAAACACAACTGTATAGACACAACATAGGATGTTCACGTTCAGTATAAACACAACCGTATAGACACAACATAGGATGTTCACGTTCAGTATAAACACAACCGTATATACAAAACATAGGATGTTCACGTTCAGTATAAACACAACTGTATAGACACAACAAAGTGTCTTCACATTCAGTCTGAAGTCATCTTACCGGTATTTTCAGTTAAACACAGTGCATTTTATCTTGTTCCTCTTTGAAATCACCAAAGTGTTAACATAACATTTGCAATCAACTGCACTTTTGTACCACAAATTAATGATTCAAAGCACCTTTCTCCTGATAGATATAATGTTTTCTAATGAAATAGATCTTGGAGGATTAACTCTGTTTTCTGTTGTCTGGCCTTTGAATAACTATGGTCTTCCTAACAGTTTGGTCACATACATCGCATAGATATATGGAGTAGTTAATATGTGCACATACAGTTTTTAATTTATATGCACAATAGTTGATCACATATAGTATAAATATTCACAATAACGAATAAAATAATCAATATGTTCATATTCTTATTGCACATCCTTTATAAGATCAACCCTATAACATCAAGTTTATATATTTATATAACAATACACCTTTATGAAAAGGTGTTAATAAAATCTCATCGGGATGGAAGTATTTTAGGCAGCAGCTGGTCATACGAGTGGTAGGATTGGCAGCATGTTGCAGCTGTACGGGAACTCTGGAACATCTTCTCAACTCCAAGATGAAAAATCTACCTCGGATACTCACTACTAAATGCCTCACAAGACACCTCATTTCTGGTGTCCTCCGCTGTGATGTTGCTGGAATATTGCTAAAAGCAGCGTAAAACCATACTCACTCACTCAAAAGATACCTTATTGACATGTTTTAATGGAATGTGAAGAATCTGAGGTTTTGCTGTTGCCTATGACCTTTAGCCGGATTCACAAACATATAGGTTGAAAACAGAGCGTGTTTGAGGGCTCTCTATGTTGTAGTGTATTTTGGACTCTTTATTTTGAATTGTTGAAGTGCATGTATTGAAGCGACAGTTATCCGGCTTCAAGAAACACAGAATTATGTTGACAGGTCATCACAATATTCATGGCAGTGTCATCTTACAACCTTGAACTTCGAGTGTGTGTGAATGGAGCCTTTTTTGCCAAGTGGACAGTTGTTAAACTGTTGTCCTCAGGTCAACTGGCTCATGCTGTCAATGTGAATGGTTGGACACTGAACAGATGTGTAGCTTCTCTGTAATTACACCCAATTTCATGGCAGTAAACCATCTGCTCACACACATGAAGTCCCACAGACAACATGACTGGAGTCAGTAGGCTCATGGGCTCCTCTCACCCCCTCCCTCTCCCACAGACAACATGACTGGAGTCAGTAGGCTCATGGGCTGGAGTCAGTAGGTTCATGGGCTCATGGACCTCTCACCCCCTCCTCTCTCTCCCACAGACAACATGACTGGAGTCAGTAGGCTCATGGGCTCTTCTCACCCCCTCCCTCTCCCACAGACAACATGACTGGAGTCAGTAGGCTCATGGGCTCCTCTCACCCCCCCCCTCTCCCACAGACAACATGACTGGAGTCAGTAGGCTCATGGGCTCCTCTCACAGACAACCCCTCCTGTACTCACCCTCCCTCTCCCACAGACAACATGACTGGAGTCAGTAGGCTCATGGGCTCCCTCTCACCCCCTCCATCTCCCACACAGACAACATGACTGGAGTCAGTAGGCTCATGGGCTCCTCTCACCCCCTCCCTCTCCCACAGACAACATGACTGGAGTCAGTAGGCTCATGGGCTGTACTCACCCCCTCCCTCTCCCACAGACAACATGACTGGAGTCAGTAGGCTCATGGGCTCCTCTCACCCCCTCCCTCTCCCACAGACAACATGACTGGAGTCAGTAGGCTCATGGGCTCCTCTCACCCCCCCCCTCTCCCACAGACAACATGACTGGAGTCAGTAGGCTCATGGGCTCCTCTCACCCCTCCCTCTCCCACAGACAACATGACTGGAGTCAGTAGGCTCATGGGCTCCTCTCACCCCTCCCTCTCCCACAG